CCGCGACCGCCAGCGGTCCCACAGCCGAGCTCTGCCGCAGCAGACATCAACACACGCGAACACCAAAACCCGCGCGCGAAACCAACGGCGTCGAGGCAACCTGTACATACTCATTGTAAATAGCCATCTAATCGACAATATATATTATTATACTATCCATCCCACTGTCTTCACGATTATTGACATCTGCTCGAATCCGGACCACACCGACTCGCAGCTTATCCCGCACGGAACGCGAAATAGCGTTACATTTATATATATGTATATGATATATAATATAAAATAAAAAAATATATAGATATATATATATATATATGTTTCTAAAAATATTTTAAAACCGATAATCAGGTATATTTATATGGAAGTGAATTTATATGGAATTTATATGAAATATCTTCAAAATTTTTAGACCTTTCAAATGTTATACCTACATTTTTTCAAGAAATGGTAATCTGTTTTCAATATGCAGACAAGTATTTATTATACATTTGCATAATTGTAATTTATTAAATGCAAGTTTTTATTTTCTAGAACCCGTCATAATACACTAAATCTAAAAGCAACTCAGGGCTCTTGATACTAGAGTACACTTTAGCATTCTATTTGTTCGGGAAGTTACATTTGTGTCTCCGACAGAAGCTAAATAGGAACTCTAAAAATAATAAAAATATATACATTTATAAAATGCAAATAGTTAAAAACAAAATAGAATTTTCCGAATATTTATTTTCACTATATTTTATAATAATTTTTTCAAGGCAGCTTTTATCAAACTATTGTTGAAAGTTTTACGATTTTCCTATTTTCTACAACTTGGTTCATATTTCATAAGTTGAAAAAAAGATTGTGATAATTGATAAATTTTGAAATTTTAATCTGTACGATAATCTTTTTAATTAAGCAATATCAATAAATAAATAAAAATATTCGCAACAGATTCTATATCAATTTATAGAATAAATGTTACTACAAAGTAACAAATATACATCCATAATTATTCGTTTCGAACTAGATCTAGTGGGTAAAAGATGTTTACCCTGATCTATGTACAAGAATTATACATGTGTATATAGCTTTTAACATATATAATTCTTGTAGATACATCAGAATAGACATCCTTTGGATTTGATCGACTATATCTAGTTCGGGACGAATAATTATGGATGGGTGTATACAAAAAAAAACCTGTTGTTCCGTACGGACGCTGTCGCCAGCACGGACCGCGCATGGCGGGCGGCCGTGCGCTAGGTGCGCGCCGCTCGCGCGCGTTTACCGCTCGCCGTTACTTCGCGCCGTCGCCGCTACGCGGCAGCAAGCCGAGCCGGCCTGTCACTCGCGGTTAATTTTCGGTTCGGCGCCTATATAAGACGCCACGGGCGACGGCTCTATGCCTTTTGAGTGCGTTCGCACGTTGGGTCATTGTTTTTGAGTACGCTTATACGTTGCCTTAAGGTGCGTTCCTTTATTTACTGCGAGTACTGACGCAATGACGTCATGAAAGTGTACTGCCAGAGTGTTCCATTTTAACTTTGAGAACTGTCGAAGTGCTGCAGCGTTATAAATCGGAACGCATAACAGCACGCTTTGTACAGTAAGTCCACTATAATAGGTTATTTCAAAGACATTCGTATATTCGTATTCACAACAATCTTGTGCTTCAATTGATACAATATTGCTGTATGCAGTCTTGATATTTTAGTAATATAAACACGAAAGATACGTTCGCGTTCGACAAATCCTGAGAGGTTCCAAAGAAATGACACAATCACAATCGTTTTGTTGGAAAACACGACGCTGATCTCCTTGAGAGTAATTATTATTATTTTCATAGAGAATGGATGAAATATCTAATAAAAATATAATTGCATTTATTGCAACTATGTTAATGGAAATAATAAATGAGGATGAATCAAGTGACAGTGATAGCGATGTAGATATTATTCAAAACTTGTTAATACAACCTCGGGTACCTACAATAAAAATAAAAAATTATGTAGAAAATATTGTGTCTTTATACTCAGAGGTGGAGTTTAAAATACATTTTCGGTAAGTTGTGAAGCATTTTGATTTTACTAAACAATTTTTCGAAGTAAATATGTGTATTTTTATTTAAAATTTAACTGTTTCTCCATCTTAACTCCATCTATTATATATATGGGCAATTAATAAAGATCAATGATGGCTATGTGTAGGATGACACGTACTACGTTTATATTTTTATTAGAGTTGTTAACTTCTCATCTAAATAAGTATTCAAATACATTTGGACGTCAACCTATTTCTCCCGAAAAACAATTATTAATGTCAATTTGGATGATGGCATCACCTAATTCATATAGGTAATATTTTTTAATTTCTAGTATAAAAATAAATAAGAAATGTATATACTTTTCTATTTTTATAATTTTCTTGAAGCATACTCATACATAATTATTCCATAATCAGACAAATTAAATGTATTGCTGAATATTTTTTCCAGATGGGGGATTTCATATGAAGTGATCAAGCTAAAAAAAATTTTTTCTCCAATTATGTTTAAACTCGGGGCATTTGTAGCCCTATTAGGTGGTAATATTTGGTAGAAAAATTTTTCCATTTGCTCCAATATTTGAGGAGGGGGAGGGGGTGAAAGTTTTGGGGGCCCGTTTCATTAAACAATTTTTTTCAGATAATTAAATGAATAAAAAAAATTTATGAATATCAGTTTCGATATGTTTTTTTATGCCCTTTCGATTGGTAAAATGCATTTAAAAAAAAAAAATTTTGATTCAAAAAACTCAAAGTTAAAAATAAAAATGACTTTTTTTGGAAGAAAGACACGATTTTTTTTATTTTTTATTTTTTTAAATGAAAGCTGAGATTTTTTCCTATAAGAACATATAGTTCCGAAAATGGGCCTAGAATGTTAAATTCATGAAAATTAGAGTTTATCTGCTGACTCGAGCGCCGCGGACAAGAGCGCGAGGCTGCAGTTGACTGTCTAGTATAAGGAGGCGAACGTTAACGCTCTCTGCATTTAACAGGGTTGAGACTGTCATTTTGTGAATGCCTGCATTACGCTAACGCATAAATTTGGAAAAAATTTTGAAACTTGAAACCTAAATAAATAAAAATTTATAATTTTTAAAACGTAAAATCCTTGAGAAAGATAAATAGTGTACTTGAGCTGAAAAAGTGAATTTATAATTATATCTGAAGTCGTTAAATACTTACATCCCTTTAAGTAATGTCCTTCAGTTTTCGCTGTTTTCTTTGTCTTTTTTTACTTTTTGGGCAATAATCACTTT